GCGTGAGTGTTTATGTATGTATGTACCTTAATAGGTCTTACGCACCTAATTATAATGGTTCTGTTTCGTATTATATGGTGCTCAACGAGAACCGTTGACTCTTCTTTCTACGAGGCATTCCATTAGTCCTCAGGGGTTTCAACGCTTCTACATTTTGATATTCAATTGAGGATAGTTGTGTATAAAAGTCACAATATTCACCTACCATCAGGTGTATGAAAGTTTGCCACTTTTAAGATGGTAATATTTTTCGAAAGTATGTATGTATGTGCGTCTGTTTCTTTGGAACGCTCTATATAGTCTAAACAGCTCGATGGATTCTAACATATGCGGTGTCGTTACATTGGACTTAATTGTGGGTGTGACATAGGCTATATAATATTTATATAATAATAATATATTATTATGTCCTCCAGATCACGGCGTCCAGTCTCAACGGAGGCTAGCCATCGGCGCAGGACAGGTTTATAGTAACCGAGAGTATGCGCCAACACTGGTGCACTCTCTATTCCCTCACTCTCATAGTGCGATGGGATGGTAAACCGACACGACCGGAGTGAGATCAAGCGCAGGACCAACGGCTTTACGTGCTTTCGTAACCACGGGGATGAGACACCGGGATGGTCTTTCATATACTGCTGGCCGTATGGAGCTGCAAGGTGTTAGCGAGCTATTTAGCTTTTTTTAGGTTTTAGGTTTAGGTTTTTTCCAGTAAAATATTTAACGCAATCGGGGTTTTTTTAATTTTTGTTTTAATCATTAAGCTTGATGCTATAGAAAAAAATAAACAAATAGACGTAATATCAGAGAAATTAGAAATATATCGAGTACAATATGATGATGTCCGCCTACGTGTGTGGTGCCCCTACAGCGGACTTTTTTCTTCTTCAAAAAATCCTAGTAAATACGAAAGGCCTCGTATAAAGTAAAACGTATAATAATATATAGGGTTTTAACTTAATTGATCACTGTAAATATAAAAAGCTAGATTATGGTTTCTGTTTGTGTTTACAATTGTTTCCTGTGAGGATTTTATACGTAGAGGTCGTATAGAATACCAGCGTGATATTTTTTATTATTTTTGTTCGGTAAAGGTGACAATCGAGAATCTGTAGCTCATAGACATTTACATTTACCCTCGATTAAGATTCAAAATGCAGACGCGTTGTCACCCCTGATGACTAAGATCGAATCTCTCATATCCAGTAAAAAGGGTATCCGACCCTCTACACTCATCATACGAAACACAACAGCATTAAGCTGCTATTTTATGCTGGTATTCAGTGTGATCGTAGTCCTCTCGTCGAGCTGACCCATTCGTACTGCCGACTATAATGTAGCTTCAGCATGGCTCTACCACGTATAAAAGCTAACTGCGTGATGCTGCTTTGTGTCGTATTAGTGACGAGAACCGGAGAGCCTTTTTATTGATAACGAGACATTTCAACATGGCCGTCGTTGGTGATAACGCATCTGAATTTTTATTGATACTTATTTCAAGTGGAGTGAGTGCTTGTTTGTTGCACTTCTAAAAAAAAAATTAAGGTGATTCTAACCCTCAGTCAATCTTATCGCTTAGACTTATACGTGGTAGAGCCATGCTGCAGTTATATTAGTAGTATAGTTGTAGCACGAATGGCTCGGCTCGACCGGGGAAGGACCACGCTCTCACAGAATACCAGCGTAAAATAGCAGCTTAATGCTGCTGTGTTTCGTATGGTGAGTGTAGAGAACCGGAGACCCTTTTTACTGAAAACGAGGCATTCCATCTTAGTCCTCACGGGTGACAACGCATCTGCATTTTGATTTGTAATCGAGGATAGATGTAGATGTCTATGGGCCCCAGCAACCACTTACCATCACGTGGACTATATGCTCGTTTGTCACCCTATCCTATATAAAAAAGACGTCGGGTATAACAGGAGGTTTGAGGAGTGCTTTAAGAGTGTGTAATAACAAAAAATATAACAAACATTTATGCCACTATAATATTAACTGCACATTCGATAGCTACCAGCTATATTCTATATTATTTTTTCAATACAATATAATATTTTCGAATCTATTTCTTGTAAAAATACAGTTACTGTTACAGCCTATCAAAAGTACAATGCTGGGCATAGGCCTCCCCCATGGTAAACATGAAAGCATCTCATAGGAGGAAAATTTGCCGTAGTTGCCACGCTTGGCAACTACGGCAAATTATTAGGTAGACGCTGATACCCACCACGTGACTTGCTTCTCTCTGCCGCCTCTTACGACACCCACGAGACGATATGGGGGTAGTGAATATTTTTACAATGCCACTACAAAAATACAGTAAATGATGACAAGTAAAAAAATATTTTTTATTTCTTTATTACTTATTTCATTTAACAGTCTCACTACATAGCCATCTCATAGTTTATATAGTAATGTCGCCTATTATTAGTTTTTTTGAATTATAGTTGGTAGAATTTGAATTAACTTTATCCATTTTGTGACATGCTTGTGCTCATCTTTACGTAAACAGTAGTGACCTTAAAACACAACATATCCCTATCTATAGGGATAACTCTAGTTCACTGTTAGAAGCAAGCAATGGAAATATGTCAAGTGATACGTATCTTCGATGTGGAAACACGATACTAATGCCGGAAATCAGATTACAAATTCTGAAGAAGCTGGCTTTAATGATGTGTTACACTTTAATGCGGTTAAATAAAACAAGGTAAGATAACACTCGCAGATGAATACGGTGATATATATTTATACAAAGAAATAATCTCTAGGTAATTTAAAGTAATTTATGACAATATTAACATGAATGTTATTAGTAAATGCTTTATCTGTTTATTTATCATATTTTGAAGTTACAGTAGCCTAATGGTAGAGTGCTGCGAAATCAAAAGACATGGGCTCGAATCCGTCATGCCACTGCTCTCGTGTGAATCACTTCTAACACAAAGCTATTTAAACTTACCGGGAGTATTCGTAATGTTTATAGCTTTGCTTGTTTGAAGATTTGATAAAAAATATCCGTGATATCAATTATTATTTACTTGTTTGCATAGATTGGTCTGTGACCCTAGTGTGGCTTAACATCTTTTTAAAATAAGGTTTATGGGTATATATGTTCTTTTTTGAGATAATAAACTCTTTAAACCCTAAAACAGAAAAAATAGAAATAATATACGTGGTAGAACCACGCTGCAGTTATATTGGTTGGCTCGACCGGGGAAGAACCACGTTCTCACAGAATACCAGCGTAAAATACCAGTTTAATACCGCTGTGTTTCGTATGGTGAGTAGAGATTCGGAGACAATTTTTTACTGGAAACGAGCCATTCCATCTTAGTCCTCAGGTGTAACAACTCATGCGCGTTTTGATTCTTAAGCGGTGATAAATGTAGGTGTCTATGGGCAACAGCATCCACTTACTACCAGGTAGACTGAATGCCCGTTTGTCACCCTTATTCTATAAAAAAATAGAATAAAGAAAAAATATCATAGAGCAAAGTAGATGTTAATGTAATAATATAAATAATTGAATAGACTGTAAATAATATATTTTTTAAATAATATTAAAATAAAAATTCAGATGGTATAATAGTAGTATTAGTATTTATAAGAACCCTCCTACCAGATAAATGGCGTACTTTCATTTTATAAAATAAAAGAGAAACTAGCTTTTATTACGTGGCATGCTGCAGCTATATATTATGGTTGTAGCATAAATGGGTCGGCTCGACAGGGGAAGGACCACGCTCTCACAGAACACCAGTGTAAAATAGCAGCTTAATGCTGCTGTGTTTCGTATAGTGAATGTATAGAACCGGAGACATTTTATACTGGAAACAAAGGAGTGATAAAGCATCTGCGTTTTGATTATTAATCGAGGATAAATGTACACATCTATTGCCACAGCATCCACTTACTATCAGGTGAAATGTGTGCTCGTTTGTCACACACCTTCTATAAAAAAATTACAAACAGTTTTAAGTGGCACGGCAGACCATGGTGTGTCCATGGTCCACTCAAACAATTTTTAACATAGTAGGCTAAACGTGCGTTGTCACCTCTGAGGACTAATATGGAGTCCCATACTGGCTTTCCGTACCATTCTAACTGGAATAAGTAGTGGATGCATTGCTGCTTGGCCCTAGAATAGGCAAGAGGTTCCAAATATCTAGAAAATTATTATTACACATTTACCCGTTTATTTATTTTAACGCTCGACCGATATTCGCGAAAAAGATAGTACAACCTCTCCGAATAATATAATGCCCCATAATAAGATTACGTAGGGTTGCCAATTTGTACGTTAGTGCATAATAAATTGTCTGGGCCTGTCTCCGTAGGGGCGGTGTAACCTACTAGAATAAGTTATGATGTGTGAGCACCCTTGACCTTTAAGCTAATAACTTATACCAGAACATTATTTAAGGATTTGCGAAAAGACCTATGAAGTCTTCGGCGATGACCTATTAAACTTTCTGCGAATGATTTAAGTCTTAATGAAACCGGAAAAAATTATATTTTGCAACTCTCACAAAACAAAGTATCTGAAATTAAAGTAACACGAAGAGTTGAGTTACTTCTTGATTTTTTATATTGATAAAATGATTTAAATAAGTTTTTGGAGCTTATTACAATGACATTAAACGCACAGACCTTAAATTCCACCATTCCACGGACACATTTTTCTTAGGTTCGAGATATAATCTGCTATAGGAACATATGATAAAAATCGAGAAGATGCCTTTTGACAGCCATATGAAAAGAATAAAACTTGTTTCCAGTCATGTGACGATGATTTTGCGTATAATCTTGTCTATAGACAAAATTAATCATACTTGAATAATTTTGTCTATTGATGAAAACCGCATGAAAATCCGTTGCGTAATTTAAAAGATCTAAGCGCACAGACGACGGGAAGCGACTGTATTGTATACTATGTAGAGATAAAACAAGGGCAGTCTGCCCGTAGGTTCATAAGTTTTGAATATGATTTTACTTACAAATATTTTTTGTTCTCGTAGACGTCGGAGAGGCCCAGCACGTGTGGATGTTCTATGAGCTTCATAATTGCTATTTCTCTCTCCACCTAGAAAATAAATATATATGTTAGTACATATTTTGATGCAACCTCGAGAAAGCAGCCGATAAAATTAATAAATTAAGAAATCCGTCGGAGAATCAAGATAACGGACATCACTCAATTTTATACCCGGTAGAGCCAAGCTGCATTTTATGGTTAAACACGAATAGGTCTGCTTGACCGGGGCAAGACCACGCTCTTACAGAATACCATCATGAAATATCAGCTTAATGCCGTTAGGTTTCGTGTGGTGAATATAGAGAATTCTATGTATATATATATATATATATATATATATATATATATATATATAGGTCTTTATATTAGCAAACTCAAGTGGCAATAGTCTAGTCATATTTGCAATATATGTGACAAATTCATACAGTTGTATATCAAAGACGAATATGGAATTGAGACCTTGATTAGGTAAACGCAACGTTGGACACCCCGCGGCTAGATGGAGTGACGATTTGCCCAAGGCGGATGGCGCCAACGATCCGCCTTGGGAGAGGCCTATACCTAGCGCGGAATGCCGCAGGCTGATGTTAAAAATAATGATATATTTTAGTAGTAGTAGAAGAAGAATAAGAGTAACTGATATAGTCTAGCAAATTAGTAATAATGGGCCAGCCGTACATTTCCAAGGACCAACGACCAATGGCGAAAAGGAGTCGAGTAGCAACTTCGTACTAACGCTAGCAGAGGCGACCCGATGCAGAGTGTCGATGGATGCAGGTGGCTCGGGACCGTAATTTGTGGAAGTCTATGGGGGAAACCTATGTTCAGCATTAGGCTTTTGATAGCATGTAATGAAGATGATGATGACATTTTAGTATTTAGCAAGTGAGCCGTAGTAGCTCAGGGGATAAACGCTCGCCTTAAAACTTCGTAGTACCCGAGTAAACCTGGTGCAATTCTAGGACAAAATAGTAGATTTTAGCGTAAAAAAGAAGATCATTTATATACATGTAACTTAAAAAACAAACTCTTACGCCAGTAACCCAGAGGGGTAGACAGAGACTAAGAACTTTCGTTTGGCGCGATTCCGACGTATATCTATCTACATATCTTATTATTCATGTTCGTTGGTTAAGGGTATTCCCAATTTGGCCCATCTTCATCATATCGCTAATTTCGTCGATAAACTTTCATCTAAGGCGGTCATTTATCTACCAAACTTTTCCCTTATCACACAATTTCTCATCCTAATAATCAGAGTCATCCCTTTCTTAATGACCGCATTTCTATAGCATTAATTTACACAGTAATTTGTAGCAGTTTAATGGAAGCTGATTGGCCATGTGCTTGGTGGTAAATGAGAACATCCATTATTATTATTTGTCACTTTTATAGGAAACCTGTATTTATGAGATAAGGTAGTACGAGGTACGAGGGTAGTACGGTCAACTTAAGTTTGCCGCTCTATGTAACCAAAACCAGGAGAAGAACAGAGACAAAACACAAAGTCATATACAAAAAATAGCAAACAAGCTCTGGCAATAATTAGAAACACTTGGAAAAATCAACTTAAAGGAACTAACGACACTGCACTGTTTACTATAATGTCAACTGTCAAAATGGCGTAGATGAAGCAGCGCCATTTTGACCCATTATTATTTGATTGACTGATGAAGAGCTATCGTAACACAGAGTCATCTATGCAAACAAGGGTAGTTTCTGAGTTATAAGAAATGACCATATTAACTGGATGACCATATTACCCTCACGTACTAAGTATACAAAAAAAACATGTATGTAGGTCACACACGGTAGAAATGAAACGTTCAGAAAACTAAACTTCGAGAGAATGAGACGAATGAATAGTATCAGCAGTAGGATAATTATAGGTTTTATTTATTATATTATTGTTACCAAGTTTAAAAATTATTTAAATTAATAATAATTAATGCGAGGAAACCACGAAGCACTGCACAAAGAGGAGATCGAAATAATACGAAACACTGTATACTATATTCTACCTCTCCTATATGTTTTTCTCCTTTTAGGGCCGCTTTTTTGTATCATAGAGTTTTAAATCACAAAGACTCTAAAAAATATTAATAAATAATTTTCATTTCAATATTATACGAGAAGGTGAAATCCGTGGTAGCTCAGATGGTTAACGCTCGCTGTAAATATAACAGAACGCGAGTAACCTCGGTTCGATCCCCGCCGGCACCAATAAAATTGTTAATTGCAATTTTAAGTGCTGATTTACCACGTGCTCGGCGGTGAAGGAAAACATCGTGAGGAAACCGGCATGTCTGAGGAATAAGAAAAAAAATATTTCGAAGACATGTGAAGTTTGCCAACACGCATTGGGGCAGCGCGGCAGACACTTCTTTGCCCTAAACCCTCTTAGAAAAGAGGGGAGGCCTGTGCCCATCAGTGGGACGGTATATAGGCTGTAAATTTTTACGTTAAGTCCGTCAACATACGCCACGTTCAAAAGACAGCGCGGCAGACTCTTCCCTACTCCAAAACCTTCTCAGAGATAAGAAAAACCCTGACTCAGCACTGTCTTTAGTTTTCTTGCAGATCGGAACATCAAGGTCGTAGTAGACGGTGCTTGCTCCGATTACAAGCCTAATCACGCTGTGGTGTTCCACAAGGTTGCGTGTTATCACCAACGCTCTTTCTTCTGCATATCAATGATATGTTACAATTTGGTAACATTCATTGCTATGTGGACGACAGCACTGATGATGATTTATACACCGGCCGTGCCAATGTTTCTAGGGAAAACGTCGCCTAGTACCGGAATAAACTTATGTCTGAAGTAGACTTTGTTAAACAAAGTCTCGAATTGTGGGCGACTAAATTTAGTCCAGTTCAATTCCCAGAAGACACACATTTGCGCGTTGACCACTAAAAAGAACCCCTTTGTCTTATATCCTCAGTTTCTGGGCACTCACCTTGTTGCCTCAGCCGGTATCGGTTCGGTCCACACATCGAATGACGTGCAGTTGCGTGGTCACTTGGAAGAGACGGCCAAACTGGCCTCTAAAAAGCTTGACGTACTCAGCAGAGAGGAACAGTATTTCATGCCGGCGCATCGCCTGCAACTACACAAGGCGCAGGTTCAGCCTCACATGGAATACTGTTCCCATCTCTGGGCTGGGGCTCCGCCGAGCGGTTTGAATAATCGGTGACCGAGGTCTTTCCGGTCCAGTTAGACTCATTGACAATGTAAAGAGATGGTGCATATCTTTGCGTATTTTATCGCTTCTATCACGAGGAGTGCTTTGAGGAATTTTTGAAGTTATTCCAGCCGTTCAATTTTACCATCGCATATAGCGAGAAAACCGATACCATCCATAACATCTGGATGATTGATGGACCAACAATGTGCAATTTACAAGAAGTTTTCTTCCTTGCACAACTTCTTTGTGAAATCGAAAACCACCAGCGATTTTTCCCGACCGATACAATTTAGGAAGCTTCAAGAAAAGAGCTCTTTTTAAAAGGCCGGCAATGCACCTGCGATTCCCCTGGTATTGCAGTTGTTCATGGGCGGCAGTTGATATTTATCATCAGGAAAGTCACATGCTCATTTTCCCCCTCATCTACAAAAAAAAACTTCAACTTTAACTTTGGGCGGTTCATTAAGTCTACGACTACAGCAGTCGGAAGGCAGTTAGGAGGAGTTGTACAATGATTCACCGTACTACACGCCGGTACAACTGCTAATATTCTTCTTTAAAGTTCGGTTGCGTTGAGCATATCTGCTGTTGGGGTAATAGCCCATATATACAAAATAACACCCAGCAGCTTTAGTATTAGTGAAGGGGAGACAGAAGAGGCTTCATGAGTGGCCCGATTGGTTGAATGATAGTTGAGAGAGTATAGGAGGGCTTGTTATCTCTTGTTTGCTGGGTGGTGGTTGTAAGAACCGTACCCGGACGCATGAAAACCCATACACATAACTGACTGGAATCATTAAATTCTACGAACAAAGAAACTAAATGCACAATGGCAGTTAAAACATTTTAAAGCTGCGGAAATAAAGGACGTAAAACTTAACAGTGCATACGAATCGGCAATGATAATTTACTCGTAGCTAAGAGTAAATTGAGTGATACTTTGTTTTAGACGGGGAAATCTATAAAAATACTGTAGCGGCGCTGTCGTCGCGCCACAAGCGAAATACACCGAAGCTTAAATCACGCTATCAACATTCCGAATCATAGACAGTATATATAGAACTTCTCCGAACTATCACTTGGAGTGTTGGCCGCTCCCCGGGCAGAACACCTTACCCGGCGGGAGATCTCCCCTTTTCCTTTCACGGCCACAGTGGTGACCCCGACGTGATCAGAACACGCAACCGACAACCTTCGGAAACTTCAAGCTTCATCATCGTCATAGCATACCCCCCCCATTCGCTCCCGAGTAGATATCGTCTGCAGTCTTCATATCCTGCAAGCCAGCTAGCTTCACAAGGTTCATCGCAGCACTGGAATAATAATGCTTCCTGTTCCTTCAAGCTACTCTCTGCGCCATACAGTGTTCGGCACGGCTCTGAGCCTTACTGCTCGCCTCTGCTTCACGGCACTCTCGCAGATTACTTGCCTTCTTCTCGACTCACCGCAGACTACAAGGCAATCTCCTGGCACTTGCACATTCGTCGGCAACGAGGCTGCACTATCGACCTCCGGTCTGAGCAGGGGGTGATGTAGCGGCGCTGTCGTCGCGCCACAAGCGAAATACACCGAAGCTTAAATCACGCTATCAACATTCCGAATCATAGACAGTATATATAGAACTTCTCCGAACTATCACTTGGAGTGTTGGCCGCTCCCCGGGCAGAACACCTTGCCCGGCGGGAGATCTCCCCTTTTCCTTTCACGGCCACAAATACTGATATTTTTTTATAGAAGAGGGGGCAAACGAACATGCGGCTCATCATCAGGAGAATTGCAGGTGCGTTGCCGGCCTTTTAGAAAGGAGTAAGCTCTTATCTTGAAGGTCCCTAAGTCGTATCGGTCAGGAAATGTCGCCGGTGG